CTGAGGAAGCAGCAAAGAAAGAGGGGGATTGTGGGAGACACAGGCCTTATATAGTCACTTCCTCTGTTATGTGATTGGTTGCCTGTGTATCTATACAGTTTTTTCTTTCATTTTGACAATATTTATATTCCTCTATCTTTGCTGCTGAGGAAATAAAGAAAGAGTTATGCATAATATGAGCCTCCGTTTCTTTAATAAAATCGTGATTGATAGGAGAAAAGTCCAAATTGACATAAAGTATGTTGCAGCTATATAGTCATAATTTGACATTTGGCAGATAGAAACAACTAAATACAAATTAATGTTGCAATATGTTGTAATATATCAGTTGTTACATCTGAATCTTACTCTAAATCTAAACCTTAATCTGTCTAATGTGAACAGACATTTATTTCAGTTTAAAGGAATATAGGATGGAAGAAGGTCTGTATAAAAAGTATATATCCTTTACAGTCTGACTGTTAGAGGTAAGAAAAAAGGTGGAGTCAGATAGGCACAGTCACATAGTAGTCAGGTGCACACAGTCAGACAGATGCACTATGTACAATACAGTGAGGCTATTTAACCATTGTGTAATGGTCCTTGTAACGGCTACCCAGCTAGAGTGAGGGTATCAGCCGTTGGGGACATCCTTTTCTTCCCGGCAAGTCGCTGTGTAATGATGGAGCTGCTTATTCCCCTCTGCTGGATCCGAAGTAGAAGTCAGGTACAGCTCTGAAAAGAGCTTAGTGATTATGCTGCAAAATTCCCCTTTCAAGAACGAGACAAGGCTACGTTTTGAAGGGTCAAGAAGATCTAAAGCTTTAATGACAGACACTCTCTTTTATGTGATTCTGCCCATGCAAGGGAGACACCCACAGTACAGCCAATAAACACAATATACATTCTGTACATCCCCTCCCCTTAGATAACCACATAACATAATTAAAAGAAACATATTTTTCCCCAAAGTTTGGATGTACCCCAGATAGCTTGTTTCTGGGGGACTAACATATTCGAAAATCAGCTCATTCGGTTCAGCCGTTTGGGAGATATTATTTTCTTTTCACATTTCCCTTGTGGGAAATTGAGTTTTTTTCTATATTTATTTAGTTTTCTTTTTTTCATTTCTTTCATTATTTCTTTATGGATTTATTATTAAAAGTTATATTTTAAATACACATACCAATATCTTTGTAGGGCAGTGCCTCCTTTCTCTTTCTCATTGTAATTTATTCCAGGGTTAACCCCTTCACTGCCTTATTTACCTACGCTTCCATTGTTTTCATTTTCTAATAAACTAGATAAAAAATGCCCCAAATTGACCAATAAATACTAAAGTTAAATTTTCTTTTATTCTCCTGTCCGTTTGTTCATCTTGAGGTCCCCTGTAAAATTTAGGACTTATTTCTGTGAAGATCCTCTGTCCAGGTTGAGACTCTTTAGACCTGTCCAATAGGAATGCAATGCCAGTCCATTATAAATCTCTGTAGCAACAGTGGCGATGAGGACTGTAACAAAGAGGACAGTTTCATTAAAGACTTGTGGATTAATGTGCAGTTCGAGACTTTACAAGCATTCCCCATGCGAATGCTTGCTAACAACTAACAGGCCACCCTGACTCTAAATTGAGACTCATTTACCTCCCTGCTTGATGGGCATTTTCGTGGAAATAAATTCACGAACGCTATAGGAACCGTATGCATGGCCGCCGTTTCGGGACTTCCATGTGTTCGCGGCCATTTTAACTCCCGAACAGCAGTGTTTTGCCGTTGAGTGTCTGGAACTAAAATCGGATACTCGGATAGGCGAACACCGCTGAGACCTCCATACCTTCGGGAAATCATGCCACAACTACCGAACGACAAGGCATTCGGTAGAAAGACTCGACAACTTATGGGGATTCCAGCAAACCCAAGATGGCATATGTATGGCCAGCCGTTCGGGACTTTTTTACACACGAACTAAGACCGACTGCAGGACCAGAATTCATGGAACTGTTTTCGGCTACTTTGCCCGTGCGGTCGGTCAAAACTTCCCATATCTCCCAAACGGCTGAACCGAATGAGCTGATTTTCGAATATGTTAGTCCCCCAGAAACAAGCTATCTGGGGTACATCCAAACTTTGGGGAAAAATATGTTTCTTTTAATTATGTTATGTGGTTATCTAAGGGGAGGGGATGTACAGAATGTATATTGTGTTTATTGGCTGTACTGTGGGTGTCTCCCTTGCATGGGCAGAATCACATAAAAGAGAGTGTCTGTCATTAAAGCTTTAGATCTTCTTGACCCTTCAAAACGTAGCCTTGTCTCGTTCTTGAAAGGGGAATTTTGCAGCATAATCACTAAGCTCTTTTCAGAGCTGTACCTGACTTCTACTTCGGATCCAGCAGAGGGGAATAAGCAGCTCCATCATTACACAGCGACTTGCCGGGAAGAAAAGGATGTCCCCAACGGCTGATACCCTCACTCTAGCTGGGTAGCCATTACAAGGACCATTACACAATGGTTAAATAGCCTCACTGTATTGTACATAGTGCATCTGTCTGACTGTGTGCACCTGACTACTATGTGACTGTGCCTATCTGACTTTGCCTCTCTGACTTTGTGCATCTGGATGTGTGACCGTGTCTGTATGTGACTAAGTGTGTGCCTATGACTGTGTATGTTTATTCTACTATGTGTGTGCATGTGACTATGTGGGTCTGTGTGTATTTGTCACAACATGGGCCTGTGGGGGAGGAAAGGGAAACAGACAAGAGATACAGAAGAAGTAACATGGGTTATGAGGCACACAAAAAGGTTAAAGGGTCTAAGAGACACACAAGGTTGAAAGGGGGGTTAGAATAAACACGCAAGAAGGGTCAGGAGATACACACAATGGGATGAGTGGGTGCAAAAACAAGATTTTCAGGTGGGTGCCAACACAGATTTCCACCCTGGGTGACAAGTGACCTTGCTACACTTCTGTACTTACCATTGTTTTCCTTTCACAGCCTAATATATTTTTCAATTAAGTGCCATGTTCTAAAATTATTTATGTACTTCACAGTATGGTTAAACTTCTAGGTACCTTTATTAACCGCTTCACTATTAAGCAGAAAAATTATTTAATTAATAAAAAAATTTGTTAGCATAAATGTTTTTGGAGTATTCTATGCAAAGCTAGTTTAGAGGGACACTATAGGCACCAAGACTACATCAGATCATTGAAGTGGTGCAGTGTTCCTATTGCACTTAGTGGGAAATCAGGGAATCAGGTAAATAAACAAAATGTTTTTAACCCTTTACTCACCACTGCAGAGGAAAGGGACAGGGAAGGGGAAGGCAGAGGGAGCTGTAGTGCTAGGAACCTATCCATTAGGTACCTCTGGGCACATCCATTTTTGGATCCTTAATAGGATCCATAGATCCTATTAAGTAAGATTTGTTCGTGCCTGGTCAGGCCTTCTGTGGTTCTGGAGAGGCGACATAGAGACGGGTTAAACAATAAAAGGATGGGAACAAGCCCACCTAAAAGATGGCGCTAATCTTTACAGGCAAGTAATATAGTGCAATAATAGCATTAAAAAATATATATTTATTCTGCACACTATGCAGTGAATGACAAGTTAATAAAATAACTGAATAATACAAAAGCCAATATAAAGCAGTACAATTGTAAGACCTGGGGGAAAAAAAACCCTATCAAAAAACCACTAAGCTAGCAAGTAGGATAGATGAAATATACAGCCCTAGATCGCAAATCCTAGGTCTTAAAACATACTTGCAGCTGATGTTATAATATAAACAAAAAGTGGTAATTAAATATGGTCTCTGGACTGCTGGATCTGTAGATCTAGTGGCTCAGGCTCAACGCGTTTCGTCCCGCGTTCTTCGGGACTTCCTCAGGAGCTGTAGACACTATGCCACCACGCGTCTAGTGGATCTGTGTGAGAGAGGAACACGTGCATAAGTTTATCTTGTGTGCCCCTGCCCTGGGATCTGGGTACCCCTCATTTCGAGCTCCTGTCTGCTGCCGGACATGGCACTGCATTGAAGTCTCCCCCCACCATGACCACTGCCCCTCCTGCGTTGTGGGTCAAGGGGGTAAGAATGTCACAGTATAATGGGTCTGGGTCGTTTGGTTCATAAAAGTTTGTTATGTGAATCTTAGTGGTGTATAAAGTGCCTGTCAGGGATACATATCTACCCTCTGGGTCAACCTGTGTGCCGGTTACCGGTAGCGGGCACTGTCTGTGGACTAGGATGGCCACCCCAGCTCTCTTTCTCAGTGCCCGTGCTTCGTAAGTCCTAGTGTACATCTTGTTAGTCTAACTGGTGCCGACTTGGGGAGGTGCGTTTCTTGTATGAGCGCTATATCTGCTTTTTTAGCTTTGACTTCCCTCAGCAATAAGCGGCACTTATTTGGGGTATTAAGGCCCTTTACGTTCATAGAGATTACTTTCAGAGTAATGGGCATGGGGTTGTTCTGCTCCCCCTGGTGGGTCAACCATTCCCTGGTCAGCTCCCAGCCGGGCACCTCTTTGAGGCATTCACTGTGTGTTTGTCATCCGCTCTTCCATCTTGGCCCAGAATTGGTCACTGGTAGGCCGCAAAGCCTCAAGGTTGGTTTGACAGTGGAGGAGAGTCCTGCAAAAGGTATCCCCGGAACCGCCGACATGTCAGGAACAAAGTTTGGTGTTGCTTTGTAGCCCGGTAGGTATTTGGCTTTAATATTTGTCAAGTTTGGTGTGCCAGCCACAGGAGCTCTTGCAGCACATGTCTGTACAGTTTCATAGCCAGGCTCCGCCCCTGGGTTTTTCGGTCTTAAGTGTGGCCTCTATGCTCCAGCCTGTGTTTCTAACAGGTGGGTTGAAGCTTCGGGGGGCTACTTGTGTGTCTTAGACTCAGGGGCTGCCTCTATCTTCCGTTTTGTCTGTCTACCTACAGTGGAGGCGTTAGTCAGGAGTTGCTGTTCTTGCTTTGGATTTCTTCTATGTTCAGGAATCAGTGGTATATGCTCCGTGTTCCTATCTGGGTGCTACCAACTGTTTTATGCTATCCGTCCTACTGGGTGTCATGGCTTGATGGTGGCGAGGGCCTATCCCAATGGATAGAATGGCTCTCTATTGTCCGTACTGGTTGTGGGGAGTCAGTCCGATGTCCGTATGTGAGGCAAGTGTTGGGTATTTTCTGCTTTTGTAATGAGAGGTTGGGGGGAAGTAGAGTGTGTGTTATTGGGCTTCATGTGTCCCAGCTATGTTGTCTCCAGGGGCGCTATCCTGTTGGCTATGTGTGTTACCCATGGATACCAGGTCAGTGCACACTGCTCCGGTCTCCCCTGTAGGTCGGCCGTCAGGGTTTCCATTGAGTGTATGTCCTCCACTTTTGTCACCCACTGCCGGAGGGTGGGCGCTCCAGGCTATTTCCACTTCATAGGGATGAGGGACTTGGCTGCATTGAGGGATCCATCAGGGATTTCTTACATACTTTCAGTGGGCTGCGGGTGAGGTGTATGAGCATTGTTAAGGATTTTATAGGAATCTTGGAGCCTGTGATTTTGTGGATTTCCCCTCTGATCTGCTCCCAGTATGGGGCGATTATGGGGCATGTCCACCATATGTGGATGTGTGTGCCGGGGTGTGCGCCGCATCTCTAGCATACATCCGACATGTGCACGTGCATGGTGTTCTGTACCAGCGTGTTAGTATTTTGTAGTTTAGTTCTTGGTATTTTGAGCTGATGAAGCTTTTATGTGTGAGGGTGAAGATCTTGTCCCATTCCTGAACGGTGAGGGATTCTCCAGCGTCTCTCTCCCAGTGGTCCTTAAACCTAAGTTAAGGTAAGGGGTCTGTGTAGGTGCCCTCGTCCTGGCAGGGCTAGGTAGTATGTTTTTATTTGGTGGTATCGGAACTGGTCAAGGAGTGTTGGTGTCCTGTCTGGGCATAGTTCTCCAAGTGTTTTGAGGCTGTTGGCACCGTACCACTGGTGTAGGTACATCCAGTCAGTCAGTTGGAATCCGGCTAAGTCACTGTGGGATAGGGTATCTGCCAAGTCCGGGTTGCGTGTGATGGGGATTGGGGGGTTAGGTGAGGTGGTGAGTCTCAGTCGGTATCGTGTTGCTGTCCATACCCTTAAGGTTGCATCAATCAGGGGATTTTTGGTGTGTAAGTCCGCGTATGTAGCAGTGTGTAACCACAGTTTGGGAGGTATGTTCCCGCCCGTCTGATCTAGTTCCATTGTTACCCATTGTTTTGTGGGGTGCTGTGTATGCCAGTCTGTTAGTCTGTGTAGATGTGCGGCGCGGTAGTAAGTCACGATGGAGGGCAGGCCTTCTCCTCCCATCCGTTTTGGTAGTTCCAGGATAGCTCTCTTCATGCATGTTGGCCCGGTATTCCAGACAAATCTGCGGATGGCGGTCGTTATAGAGCTGAAGAAGACCTCGGGTACCGTGATCGGCACTGTCTGGAATAGATAAAGTATTCTGGGCAGCACATTCACTTTGACTGCATTAATGCATCCAAACCAGGAAATATATTGTGGGGTCCATTTTTTCAGGTCTGCCTGTAACGCTTGTAGCATCGGGTGATAGTTTAGGTAGTATAGTTGGGACATGTCTTTAGGTAACCAGATCCCCAAATATTTCAGTTTAGTGGTACACCACTTGAATCGGTATTGGGTGTAGAGGTGCGGTGAGGGGTCGTATGGGAAAGGTAGGTGGAGGGCCTCCGACTTATCAGTGTTAAGTTTAAGGTTAGAAATCGTACCGAACGTCCAGAAGGATGCGAGGAGGTTGGGTAGTGAGAGCAGCGGCTGTGTGATAAAGAACAACATGTCATCCTCGTATGCGGCTACTCTATACTCTCTACATCCGACAAAGAATCCCGTGATTCACCTGTTCCGTCTGACAGCCCCCAGGAATGGTTCCAGGAAGAGCGCAAACAGGAGGGGGGACAGCGGGCATCCCTGGCGGGTTCCGTTCCGGATAGGGTAGGGGGCTGACAATGCCCCGGTGACCCGTATCTGTGCTGTTGGGTTCGTGTATAGGGAAAGCACCCAGGACAACATGTGTGGGCCGAATCCCATGTGTGTGAGTGTGTTCTCCAGGTATACCCAGTCCACTCGGTCAAAGGCCTTTTCGGCATCCGTCGAGAGTAGAAGGAGCTCCCGACGACGCATCCGGGCTACGTGCAAGATGTTTAGGGCTTTGATGGTGTTGTCCCTAACTTCTCTGTCTGAGATAAACCCGACCTAGTCTGAGTGGACCAGGTGGGGTAGGTGTTTCGCGATTCTCAGGGCTAGTGTTTTGGCAAATAGCTTTAGGTCTGCATTAAGCAGGGATATGGGGCAGTAACTGGAGCAGTTCGCCGGGTCTTTGCCTTCCTTAGGTATCACTGTAACTATGTCCGCCAATGTGTCGGTGGGAAAATGGCCCCCTTCCTGTATTGCATTAAGACCTCGTAGGAGGTTTGGTAATAGGATGTCTCGAAATGTACGCAGATATGTCAGTGGGAGACCATCAGGGCCTGGTGCTCTGTGCATTTTGAAGAGTTTTAGTGCCGCAGCCAATTCCTACACTGTGAGGGGCTGCTCTAGGTCCTCCCTCATTTCGGGGGTTAGTTTTCTTTCTATGTTTTGGTCTAGGTATTCTGAGATTAGATTACGGCGTTGGGTTTGGGCGGTGCCTGTCTTGGGCTGGGGAATGTTGTATTGGTCGGTGTAATATTCCATGAAAGCGCGCTGAATACCGTTGGGCAGTCGTGTTTCAGCCTTGTCTTTTAGTTTTGTTTTGTGTATGTGGCTAGCTCTCCGTCTGTCTCGGAGTTGGCGGGCTAAAAGCCTGCCGCTTTTGTTCGAATGTTCAAAGAAGTGCCAAGCGGATTTTCTAAGGGTGCGTAGGAGGCCTTTGGCTAGGATGTCCCGTCTCTTTGGAGGAACTTGTCCTCTTCCTGATTTTGCTTGTGTGTCTGTTCCAGTGTGGTGATTTGTGTGTTTAACGTGGCTAGTTGTTGTGTGCGTTCCTTTTTACGCCGCGTACATATCTTAATATAGTGTCCTCTAATGACACATTTATATGCCTCCCAAATGGTCAGGGGTGGGGTTTCTGGGGTGTTGTTAGTGTCAAAGTATTGTGTCAGTGTTTGCTTGCTCCGTGTCTTCTAGGTTGAGTAATAGGTTCTCATTCAGCTTCCACTGCCATTCTGTGGGTTTGTGTAGAGGGGACTGGATTTGTACTGTGATTGGAGCGTGGTCTGAGTCTGAAATTAGTCCTATATTTGTCCGTTAGAGTAGGGGTAGGGCTTCTTATGCTATTAGGATGTAGTCAATTCAGCTTTTCAATAACATTGCAAAACTTTGCAAACATTATAAACCAGGCAGCGTTCATAAACAAGGTCCTCTCCTCATTCCCCCATGGTATCTTTTTCTACCTCTTTTGGCTGGCTTCGGTTGGAGCGTTAGTAAATAACGAAAGTATCTTTGGCTGCCACTTTAGGGCTAGGAACGACTTTATCAGTATTTCCCTTCGGGCTTGTTTATTAAGTTCGAGCCCCCTGCCGGGAATTACATCCCGGGTATGGCAGTGTTCCCCGGTTCCCCCCTTCTTACCCCACCCTCCCAAAATAATTCCGTGGCTAGTGTTTCTGGGACTGTTTCAATGGGGGGTTCTCCCCTAACTTTATTTCACAAGGCGATCCCTCTCCCATGCCTATCCCCCGCCCTACGGGTGTATTTACCCCCGGTGATCGTGGTTTGGTTCTCTGGTGTGGTGGTAAGTCGATGGCTGAGGTTCTGGTTTGTGAGGAGTGGATCTGTATTTGCTGGACTCTATTATTCTTCGGGGCTATCCGGGCCTCCCCGCCGGAACCCCCCACCTGTCTTTCGCTTGTAGTACGTGGGCGTTGTGGTTGTTGCTCCAGGACCCAATTTGAGACCATTACTGCAGGTAGGCTTGCGGCTCGTAGAAAGCGTGGGACATCGGCGGGCCATCGGACAATATGCCAGGTGTTGCCCACTTTTGCTTGCAGGCTGAAGGGGAAGCCCCATTTGTATTGGATCCGCCGCTCCCTGAGAAGGGTGGTTAGCGGGCGTAGCACCCTTCTAGCCTTAAGGGTGAGGACGGAGAGATCCTGGAACAGAGAGATCTGGGCGTCTCTGAAGGTGAGATTCTGCAGGTTCCTTGCTGCTCTCATGATGTCGTCTTTTAAGGCGTAGGAGAGCAGGCAGCAAATCACGTCTCTTGGGGGCCCTTTTGGTGATGTGGGGCGCTGAAGTCATCTGGGGCTCTGTCCCCTAAGATGTGGGTGAACATGTGCTTTCCCCGCGGTTTCTGGGAGGCCTCTTATGCGGATATTGTTTCTCTCCGCCCGCGGTTGTCCAGGTCTTCCAGGTGCCTCGTGAGGTCGAGCAGGACATTGCCCTGTCTGGTGGTGGCAGTATCAGTGGCTTGTTGGTGCTGCACATTCTGGGTCTGATCAGCTTCCAGGGCCTCCACCCTGCATTCTAGGGCAGTCAGATCCCTCCTCACCTCCATGACTTCCTCCCTGATCACAGATCTGATTTCTGCCAGCATCTCTGCCTTGTCTGCACGGGATAGCATGTTGGCTGTGATTGTGGCCACATCAGCTGCTATTTGGGTGAGTGATTCCCCTCTGGTTGAGCCCTGCGTCGGGCTGTCGACGCTGCTTGCATCTGGAGAGGCTGGTGCCATTTAGGCGTACTGCCAAAGCCGTCCATGGGGCCCGAGGTGCGACCCGGCCAACCGCTTGCGAAGGGCCCGGGTGTTAAGCTGCTTGGTTTTACCCATTTCGGGCTGATCTGTGCTCGTTAATGGGTGCAGTTGTGAGCTGGGGCCTCGGAGCAGGTAGGAAAAGCGCCCTACTCCATTGCCGTTCAGGCCACGCACCCTGGTTCGTGGTTTTGAACCACTTTGAAATCTGCCAGGAGAGCGCTTTTTGGAGGAAAGGTGCCTGAGACTAAGGGGAACAAAAACTACATAAGAGCCACATGGAGCACCCCATATTGTGGCAGCAGTAGCTCCAGAAAGTTGACCGACAAAAGCACCAAACGCCCTGGAACTATTTTGGGCATAGGACCACGTGTGCGGCCAGTCAGAACTTTAACAAGGTGGCGTTTCCCCTACACTGCATGGATCTGAGCACTATTTGGAGAACTTGGGCGCTTAGATCAGGGCTATTTAATGGTGTATTTTTTGTGGGGTTATTTTATGTTTTTATTATGTTTCGGGGTATTTTTATGTTTTA